TTTAAAATAATATTAAAGAGTTTAGTAAGCCAAGAAACTCCCAAATCTCCCAAATATTTCCAAACTTCAATTGGGATATCATCAGATCCTATAGACTTTCCACCATTGGTTTACTTTAAAGCGTCCACAACTTCTTTTTTACTAATGCAACAGTAAAAATAAAATGTTTTATTATTTTTAACGATATTAAGATCACTAAAGTCGATCATATTTTCAGAAACTTCGTTAAAAAGTTTATCAAAATAACTCACCCACCTATGTTGAATATCTTTTTCTAAGAAAAACACGTTTTGATTTTCATATTTAATACACTTTACTCGAGTTAAATCTTTACTTTTCTTATCACTTTGTTTGGCTAGTTTATAAATACACTTTTCACCATCCTTAGTATATAATCTATTATAAAGATCACTAAAAACAGAATTTTTAGCGTCACAGATTGCTCTTTTAGACTCATGTGGGTCGTTTGATATTTTTCCCAATTCTCTAAGCTTTTACATTTAAACCAATTTTTATAACATAATTTATTATATTTTATCTTTTCTTGAACATTATTATTCCACCACCAACTATTTATGTTTATAAAAACTTTTCATTTTGATTCTCCAAGTTCATCTTTTGCTACTTGTTTAATAGTATTTGTTGTTTTATCCCACATAACATTTGCTTCTTCACGAACATTTTGCTTTTGGCATCATGTCTGCATGCTTGCACATTTGCATGTGTTTTCTTTGTTTCTTTCTGTGATTTATCTGAGATTTCACGATACAATATAGGCTCTTTAGTACTTAAAATCCTAATTTTTCTATTTAAAAATCCTAAATAAAATATTTAAGATAATTAAAATTTAAGATTAAAATATTCATGATTTAAAAATTGCAACATTTACTTTCCTACATATATTAATAGGGCCTCAACAATACTTAGGACCGCTCTAGATAACTGCATTCATATTTGCAAGTCCCGGGGAGGAGTCTTCGTACTTCTCCAACCTGACTGACCCAACATACCTTTATATAGTTGGTTGTCTAGTGCGCCTAGGGTGTTAGAAGACTCCCTAACCCAGACGGGGTATAAGTTCTTTTGTTTGGAGAGTTTCAGCTTTGTAGCTAAACCTCCACTTCTGCTTCTTTCTTGAGACATTCTTGCCACCTTGGCAAGTATAAGTCCCACCTCTTGGAGCTCCAGCTTATAGTCATAGGATAGAGTTTCCTTCATTTAACCTTAGGGCTATCGAGGTTCCCTTGGACAACACAATTCACAGATTGTTGACCAGAAACCTCAGGACGTGTTGGGTCGACTACCTTCACGATCAGGTAAACTTATGGTCCTAGTAGCTGTGGAGGACAAGTCTGTGATCGACCCAGTTACCTCTACCTTCTAGAATGACTCTACATTTCTTTTGTTGAGCCCCTTTGAGCCCTATCGCTCCTTTGACTTCGTTGATATCATTTTGACGGTTTGATGGCAATGAGTTGTCGGCAATGAGCTGTCGCCTATTTGGGATACGACGATTTGTCTTGATGGCAATGAGTTGTCGCCTATTTGGGATACGACGATTTATCTTCTGCTCTCATGACCCGAATGTGCTTTGACGTGTTGGAATATTCCCGTCAAGATGATTTAGGTTATTCCGAGGGCCCCGTGTGCCGATGAGCCGCTGCCCATTCAGGATGTGAGAGACTAACTCTCTGCCCCATGGCTTAGCGTAAGCTTTGAAGTATCGGAATTGTTCCCACACTGAATAACCCTCATTTGATTGTCTATAACCCGGGTTTATGATAATATGAAGTGAAACACCTTTTATCGAGAGTCTTCTTGGGTATCCCCCGAGATGTAATTAACCAGTAGGAACACGTTCCTCTGAGAGTGCTCTTGACCCCAATACAGGTACATACACTTGAATTTCTGGTTACGAGTAGTCTATGTAGATACTTCTTTCGTAGATATTGGTTTAAGATGCTTCCGCCCAATCTTGTTTAGGCGGTCAAACTTGGTATATTCTTGCGAGGTTTATCACACCAAGATTTGTTTCCGTTCGTTTTTCTCTATCACGGAGCTACAATAACCCTATCATGGATATATTCATTTTGCATTTTGTCTCAAAGTGTAAAGCCACTCATCCAACTAATCACTCTCAGCTCGGCAACACTACTTAGTTTTATGCTTCTCTTCTAAAGGCAACATTCATCGCCATAGAGCATTGCAGGTCTCACCACTATCTTATAAAATTTTCCTTTCAGTCTAAGCAGTACTTTTCTATCACACAATAGGCTCGAAACATTCCTCCACTTCAACCAACTAACTTGAATTCTACTAATAACATCTCCATCTATATCACCATCACTTTGAACAATAAACCCGAGATATCTGAAGTGTTCATACCTTTTAATAATTTATCACCCATAGATACAATTTTGTCACTAGTTACTACTACTAAAATTGCATTCTATGTAATCAGTTTTAGTTCAACTCAAACGAAAGCCTTTAAACTCCAATGTAGACCTCCATAATTCAAGTTTTATCTGAGCTCTCTCCCGTCTTATCCACATGAAGGATCAACAAAAAAATATACACCGAGGTACATCCTCCTACAAATGTCCTATAAGAGCATTCATAACTAAAGCAAAAAAATATGGGATTAAAGCTGATCCCTGATGTAATCCAACTGAAGTAGGAAAATACTTGGTCAATCCTCCTGTTCAAACACAAGTAACAGCTCTAGTATACACATCTTTAATGACTTGAATAAAAGACATATCAAACCCTTTCTTCTCATGAACTCTCCAACAAATATCTCTTGGAGCCTTATCATAATCTTTTTCTAAATCAATAAAAATCATATGTGGATCCTCCTTACTATCTATGAACTTCGCCATCAAACCTCTCAATAAATGTATCGCTTCCATAGTAGAATTGAAAGACATAAATCCAAATTGATTATGAGATTTTTTTTGTAATAAGTCTTAACTTACGTTCAATTACCCTCTCTCATAATTTTAAAGTAAGACAGATTAACTTAATTCCTTCATAATTTGTACACTCTTGTGCATCCCCTTTATTCTTAAAAATGAGGACCAAAATACTATTCCTCCACTCCTCCAGCATCTTTTTAGTTTTCAAAATAATATTAAAGAGTTTAGTAAGCCAAGAAACTCACAAATCTCCTATATTTTTCCACACTTCAATAGGGATATCATCAAGTCCAGACTTTCCACCATTACTTTCCACCATTAGTTTTATATAAAGCCTCCTCAACTACTTTTTTTACTAATTCAATGATAAAAATGAAATATTTTATTATTATTAACGACGTTAAGATTACTAAGGTCGATCATATTTTCAGAGACTTCATTAAAAAGTTTAGCAAAATAACCCACTCACCTATGTTGAATATCTTTTTCTTAAAAAAACACTTTTTGATCTTCATCTTTAATACAATTTACTTGACTTAAATTTTTACTTTTCTTTTCTATTTGTTTGGCTAGTTTATACATATATTTTTCACCCTCCCATCTAATCTTATAAAGTCACTAAAAGAAGAATTTTTAGTATCACATATTGTTCTCTTAAACACCATACAAGTCATTTTTTCCACCATATGGGTCATTTTTTCCACTTTTTGATCATCATCTTTAATAGAATTTACTTGACTGAAATCTTTACTTTTCTTTTCTATTTGTTTGGCTAGTGTATACATATATTTTTCACCCTCCTATCTAATCTTATATAAAGTTAACTAAAAACAGAATTTTTAGCATCACATATTGTTCTCTTAGATACCATACGGGTCATTTCATATTTTTTCCAATTCTCCAAGCTCTTAATTTAAACCAATCTTTATAACATAACTTCTAATATTTTATCTTTTCTTACACATTATTATTCAATCACCTAGTATTTTTATTTATAAAAACTTTTCTTTTGATCCAAGTCATAAAATTGGTGGTATAAATGTAAAAAAAATACAATCTTCGGTTTAGGGGTCAAACCACCCGATTTTTGTTGGTTCCAAGGCGGTTCAAACCGGTTCAATTTGGTTCGATGCGGGGATGGTTTTTAAGCCAACCCGAACCGAACCACCGGCTGGTTCGAACCAGTCTAACCGGCTGGGTTTGGTTTTGTCTTCTAAACGCTTTGAAATAGTGAAGTTTCAAAAGCATCAATGGTTATATGATCATGATCTCCTCCTAAAGTACATTTAGATGAATTAAAAAAATATATTGATACAAGAGACGACTTCGTCATAGGAAAGGTGACCATAGACCAATACAAAATTTGTTAAAACAACTCACCACTATGTTGACCCACAAGAAATTTTAATGTGATTTCATTAATGTAATGGCAATTCACAAGTAGAATGGAAAACATTATAAGTGAAAGAACAACTTGAAATTGATAGGGGTTGTGTTGTCGGGGTGTGCCATTACAAAATTAGAAGCAATTTGAAAATAAATTCATAATGAAATTGTATGATGAGTTCATAAAGAAAATCATGAAAAAAAAAAAGGATAGGCGAGGTAGACAAAAAAAGCAATGATGGTTTTATTTTTATGTTTCAATAGTATAATCCCTGAATATCAATTACAACAAATGTTACATAAACTTATAAAAATGTGGAAATGGAGACATAAGGTAAGCCGACGAATATGTGATGGAAAGATTAGTTGTTTTAAACTTATATGCATTGTGTTGTTACAAATTCCTATCATAAAGCTTCGTTAATTTCAAAAATATATCAAATTTGTATTTCCATAAATTGAAAATTAACTTTACCTTATATAGGCACCATGCAATATCAACCTTATTTTGGAATGGACCGCGCTAAATCACAATATTTGGCTTAAATCCATGACCTTAGAGAAACAACACTCTCCTTTAATCACTAGCCCACTATCATTTCACTCAATATCAAGTTTTTGTTATCACATTTTCATATTATAAATGTTATGCTAAACTCAGAAGATCGACATAGCTATACATGGGAAAAGAAGTTGAGAGTCTGCAACTATAAAAAAATACAAAATCATACAAAAAATTTTTCACATATTTCTACAAGTCTCATATTAAATTTACATGACTACCTTACAAATACAACTTAACATGACTCAAATCTACTTAATTAAATCAATTTAAAAATAGTGAACTCGCCTTATTTAAGGGCATTTTGCCCTAACACACAAGCAAAAGCATGCATGCATTACGAGGCAAAGTGCACTTGCACAATTCCCTGAAGCAAGAGATCAAAAAATGAAAACTACAAATCTAGATAAGTAAAGAGAGTAAGCAATAAATAAAAGCATTCGAAAGAAGGCCCATACCAGTCAACCATTTTTCAGGTTCAGAACTCCAGCGAGATGCAATGTGCAATGAATGTTCCCCTTGGAAATGCCAAAACAAACGTTTCCGACCACTCAACTGATCCCTGCAAACCCCCGGCGTCTGTTTTCGTAACCTTGACTCCTGCACAACTGACCTCCATCTCCTCTCCCCTCCTCCTCCCTTCCCAAACCAAACACAGCAGCTCACCCAAGTTAACCAGTGTTGACCCATGTACAAACTCTGGTAGCTCCTTATCCAGTCCCTCCACTGTCCTCCACTCATCCTTGGTGAAATCATACCCTTTGATCTTCCCCAGGTTACTATACGAGTACAGAACTTCCCCCACAGCAGCTGCCCTACCCCTCCAACCCAAATGCAGCGGTGTAGGCACAAAACTCCATGCCTTCTCCTGCGTTAATGCTACCTCTGTCGCAGCCACAGCGGGATCGAATGCCACGTCGCCCTGATCCGCCTTCGCAAGCAGCTTTCCCCCAATAACTGCATTCCCGTGCATCCACTTCATTCGAATCTCCGGCGGGCTTGAGATTCGCCGCCATTGCTCTTTCTCCGGGTTGAATTCCTCAGCCCAATATTCATTGATGGGGTAGCAGCCCCCTAAGGCGTAGATCCGGCCAGAAATCACACCGGCAGCGGCAAACTCGCGGGAAGCACGCATAGGGGTGCCGAGGCGCCAGCAATTAAATCGTGCATCGTATATTTGGACAACGCAACGGGAGAAAGAATGCCTTGAAAGAATGCCTTCGAGGGAGCCCCCGAATACGAAGAGGAAGTGACCAAGACCGATGGCGGTGCATCCGAGGGCATAGGCAAGGGGCGGCGCTGGTAGGGGGATGAGAGGAGGGGAATGATTCCGGCGGAGACTATCGTGGAGATACCAGCGAGATTGGCCATTGGGGGTGCGGAGATTGATGAAGAGGAAGTGCTGGGAGGCACCGACGTCGAGGCGGACGGAGAAAAGAAGAGGGGAGCGAAGGAAGGAGCGCCAGGCACGTGATACAGCGGCGAGGAAGGGATGATGCGATCGCGGGACTCGAGCGATGCAGAGGATGGCTAGGTCGTCGGGAAGTGAAGGTATCAGGCAAGATATTGGCCTTTGTGTCGGCGGAGAAGAATTTGTGAGGAAAGGACGAGCTTTGTTCATTGTTGGTGTTTACTGACCTGGGATCGATGATAGATCCGCGCGAGCAGCGGCGGCTGCGATGTGGGCTCAGAGGGATTGGTAAGGAAAAAAATTTGGAGAGATGGGGTGTAATTTACTATTTATTATTATGTTTACTAATTATAACTTTTACATACAAAAGATGGGGACGTGTAAAAAATAAAATTTAAGTGTTAGATATGAAATAGATATACTTGAGTCGAATGTATCTAAGCGTCTGTTTGGGGCAGTTTATTTGGTGCGGTCGCGTTTTGAAAACGCATCTGGACTGTTTGGGTAAACTACGTTTTGACAGCTTATACTTTTTGAAAAACACCGTAGCATCTGACAGCGGTCTGACTTTTCCATAAAAATAAAAATTTTTTATAATCACCGCACATAGCTTATCAGCAAATTATTTTTAATCAGCTTATCAACAGATTATGCAAAAAGCTACAGCTACCCCAAACAGACCCTTCTAAACCAAAATTTAGATGTATGATAGCTAAATACATAGGAATAGGAATTGGGTGGTATGTATGTAAATATCTCTTTTATTGTTTATTTTCAAGCCACTCAATTATTACATATCATATCAAAAGTATCATTATTTTAATTTAAAAAAATTAAAATACAGATTTTAATGCATAAATAAGATGATATTTATTCAAAAGTGATTTCATTTAAATCTTTTTTTTTATTATTATTACTATTATTATTTTCACATTGCATTTGAGCTTTAGGTGTTATGAAAGAAAAAAAAATTATTTTGAAATGTTTAATATAAAGGAAAAGGGAAAAAAATGATTCTTACAAAAAAAAAAAAAAAAACAATTATATGATATACAAAAGTAGAATGATGTTAGATCTTAAATTGTCTTATAGATCACCCTAAGAAATAGAGCGTTGGTTGAATGAAAGAATAAGAGAGAAGAAAGCTTTAAACAGTTAATATTTTTTTTGAGTAAGGATTCTTTGTTAATATTTTTTTGAGTAAGGATTCTTTTGTCCTTCCTTTGAATATTGTAAATTACATGATTGTCCACTATTAAAAATAGAATGTTGTCATAATTAACGAGTTATAGTATTCTTACATTTGTAACCAAATATCATTTATTCAGATCACACAACCAAGGCTAGTACCGCAGCACCTCTATAACTACTTTGAATAATGTTTTATATTTGTAATTGTTCAATTCAAATGTTTGGAATTCATTAGATCGGTTGTAACTTGTTCAGTTGACTCGACGCCATTCGGTTGTCTTCAATGTTGTTCAGTCGCCCAATTCATGAAGACTGAATGTGAAGATACATTGCCATAAGTTAGGATTATTTCACCAGACGGAGAGTAAATCTC